AATGAATGTTTTAACTTGTCAAAGATGCTAAAAACACCAGAAAATGTTCAAATGACAATCATGTGTCCTGTGCTGGTGACTGCTAGACACAGTGCAAGCATAGCACTGCAGCAATGCCATAACAAATGAGGAGAATAAATCCAGATTGAGTGGGCTGCTGGGGAGTGCACTGTGGATCACGTCGTGTTGATCATCACTTGTGCTGGTGGTTCGCTGTGGCTTTTATCTCTTTTACATTAGCTCCGGCTCGATCCTTACGTGGGTGGCGCGTGATTGCTAGGCAGCATATGGTCTCCTTAGCATCAGATCATTCCACTACATGCTTAAGAGGCTGAGAGTCCCTGCCCCCAATCTCACCTTTCAGCAGAGAAGAATACACTTCAACTGGACGTAAGTTACTATCTGTACAACATGTCTGCCCTGAGTCTCTACCCTCTGGCACAGAGTTAAGAGTGCTGCAGGGTAAATGTAACAAGGTGTCCTGATCATTTTAAGCTCACCTATCTCTGGTTAATTCATTTAGTATAGGACAGAAAAGAAGCCACTGGTACTGTTCGTTCATGTTGATGCTGTCAAGAACAGAACATGCTGCTCTTTGGCCTTCATGTGTTAATTTTCTTTAGTTTCTCTCTTTAAATAAACCTAATATTTGTATATTTTGTACTTACACTGTTCCTCATTGCATTTCTACCGGCAGTCATGTATAATGAACATCAAATCCTTTGTTTATATTTTGCAAGTAGTAGGTTGGTCCAATATACATCTTACATGCTGATTTATTCGCCCAGCTCAAGTTTTTAAACTTAATGACAGCTTATTTGCTCAAGTCAATATTTACAGACATCTAAATCTAACAGTCAACAAAAGGTCAGAGCGACCCAGATCCAGAAAACCCCAAACAAATAAAGGCTTCTTAATATATAATAAAGCAAATACAGTGGAATAAGAAATAAAATGAGGCTTCTTTTTTTCTGTCCACCCGGGACAATTTGTATCAGTGAACAAAAGCCTGCTGCAGCCAATCTTGTGCTGAACATCAATAACTGATCAGAAAATGGATGGGTCCATGTGTGTGATCATGTTTGGAAGGAGGAATTGGAGGGAAAGTGAAAGCAGGTACAAAGGTGGTTTAAATCGTGTACAAATACCCCACAATTCCTGGACACCTCCTTGGAAATAAACACTGACAACAAGTCAAATGTAATCCTCTGCTAAGTTAAATATGGATCAAGCCCTGGTCAAATAACACTCCTATTGGTCACTACATGGATGCCTTACGGTTACTAGGCAACTCAACATCATATCATGTAGTTTATATAGTATATACATTGTATAGGCCCCTGACCAATTAAAAAGGTACATAACACAGCTTTCCAGTTTGAATAAAGTATTTGTCATAGTTTCTATCATATTTATATTTGTGTAAATACCGTCTTTATTTTTGAAATGTGTTGTCTTTCAAATATACTTAAAACGTATTCTTCTTTCTGTGTCGTTGTATGCACCATTTTACACTAAAGTAAATTCCTCGTTTGTGTAAAGCTACTACAGATTCTGATCCTGAAAGCACTGTGGCCTGCTATGCCAGTAGAACCGCTGTAAACACATTCAAGTGTAACCTCAGTCTATTTATTAAAGCTCACATGTAACACTGTTGCAACTATCAACACAGCGCCATGCTTCCCCGAAAACTCATTGAGATAAAAAAAAAAACAGACATGCATTCACTTTTCATGTGTGAGTGCGAAAGCAAAGCAAAACTTAAGTCACATTTTCCTGGCTGCGGTGCAAACTGTGCCACAATTAGTCGCCAAGCAAAGGCCATTGACGAGTGTATTTTTTGCCACGAAAACTAATTTGCACAGGCCCTTGTTGCTAATAAGAGTGAAGGCTATACTGAGAGGGGATAAGACATACTGTATATGGGCCACAAGCTTTAGGTTACTGTCAGACCCGGGGTGTTGCACAAAGTGGGCGAGGAAAGCGTTTCCTTCTCAACAGAGCTCTACGTTTTTAAACTTTACGTACAAAAACAACAACAACCTGTCAAAAAGCCACATTTATCGACACAGGCCTGCAAACTGGTGTGTTTACAAGTCGTCGGAGGGGTGGAAATTAAGTGCTTACCATCTTGCAGGTCGGATGATGAAATCCAGGCGGAAAAGAGGTCCAACAGGGGAGAGAGAGAGGGAGGGGGAGTTGGTAGGTCGCCGAGATGTGGCGAGAAGTACTAAAAAATATATGGTTGTGGTACTCTCTGAGGTCTCTCGTCCTGGCTTTAAAACCCAGCTTCAGGCTCCTTCACCAAGGCTTTCTGTGCTGTAGCAAACCCGCTGGAAGGGGACGGAGGAGGAGGCTCGGCTTGACAAGCAGGCGGTGGCGGAGGGGAGGAGAGAGGAGGGGGAGGTGCTGCTCGAGGCTACTGTACATCCGGGAACTACAGCTTCACTACAGGCTGCTTGTGCTTGGGCTCTCTCCACTGGAGCTATGGCTGTACTGCAGGAATACCCGACACCTTAGGCCATTCTGCACTGTGTGCAGTGGTGGAGAGTTACTAACTACATTTAGGATGGTGCTGAACTAATGTACAATTTCAAGGTACTTATTTTGAGTATTTCTTTAAATTATGTTTTATAGCCAGACATATTTCTTTTTAATATAGGCCTACTGCCCAAAATGTCCTACCAAGATGGGGATTGTAACCCATGTATCACAGAGATCAGAATATATGGTGTGCCTGTATGAACCTCTGAGTTAGACAGCAGTTTGAGCAGGCATGATTTATTTGAAATCATTCGATCACATGACTTTTTTTTTCGTCCCTTGGAGTTGGGGGGTGTCAACAAGGCGTGTAGGACAGAGTAAATACACATATTATACAGAGATGCTGTATGAGAAACCAATATGATTTTGGAACATTGGACAATGTAAATCTATTTTAGTAGACCTCAACAATGGAATTATGATCAGTAGAAATGGCCATGACATGAGACCTTTAAACGTTTGGTCGTGTTTGTGATATTTTACAGATTTGAGCAAATAGGCTTCCCAAGTATACCTCTTAAATTTAGTCTAAAACGTATTCCTACTTTATCATGCTTTCTGCAGGACCTTTTTTGAACATGTCATAATTGTTTTGTCAGTGTGATTAACGTCTAATTGCTGTGATTGACCTTTATCAACATGCTTTATGGGACTTTTCCCTTCCTGTCAAGTTGCATTTTTCTGCAGTGTTTTTGTTTGTTTTATAATACATGTATAGTTTTCATTTGTTGTAGTGGTTTACAATACTTGTTTCTTCAGTTGTAAGTACCTGTGTTCTGATCTAAATCTGATGTAGTTTACAGTAGGTTTATGATGAATCAGTCCAAATAAATACATTTTCCACACAAAAGATTTTCAATTTTACTGATAACATTATAAACAACAATTTCACAAAAAGGTCAGAGTAACATTTAATTTTCACCGCTATTGGACCATTTCATCATGTCTGTTGCTCTGGTTTCTTGCATAGGTCATTTCAATATTTTAAAGAAAATAATTTAGTTATTTTTTACCAATATACAAACAATAATATGAAAACACTTTTAAATATTTCACTGTACAAAATACTTTTTTCCGACTAAAAATATATATTCTGAAATGTCATTATGTTACGTTTTGAGTATTCCAAATAAATTATTTAGCTTTAATAAACAATTCATTATTATGGCTAGGTCCTTCAGAAGAGGTAGAGAAAACAACACACTGTAAATAGGAGCACGACTTCACCCAAATACAACATTCTTACATCCAACACTGTATACAGTACACAAAATAGTACCACAAGAGAATACTCATACATTAACATAACACTATGGTCCCTTTTTTGATTAATCCATGTGCAGTCAGCGGCAAAGGTGAACACTTCTGGATCTCTTTGGAAAGTGATTTTGGAATGAATCTCTTACACGTAAAAGTACATTAACTTGTACAAGCACCGTCTTGTTACACACACGTATTGTAGCTAAACACACAGGCACACGTGCACTGACACACATACAGTTCTGCACATTTGAACACACCTCAGGATAACCACATGCCATAACTGGAACGGCATATACAAATATTTTTTTTTAAATGTCATTTAGTCTTCCAAAACGGAATTGAAAGTGTAGGTAGAATTGCTACATGTTTCCTTTTAATTAGAGACTTAAAGGTGAGGTAAGTAAGTTTGAGAAACCGGCTCGAGATAAACTTTTTGTTATATTCCATGGAATGCTCTTAACATCCCGATAGCAATGAATATCTGAAGTGCTTTGACAAAAGATCCATAAAAAAATGTCATCTGTGGAAGCCGTGGTGCTGTAAAAAGCACAACCAATCATCTGAGCCGGCCCGGCTAAAGTAACTGGATGGCCTACCTGCCTGTCAGCCTTCCATCTGTGCACAAACTTATCTCGTGCCCTCATTGGTCATGTGCGCGTTCGTGTGTGTTGGAGGAGGGGCTCTGTAAGGAAGTGGCAGATTTTTTCCGGTTGTGTATTTTCCCAACACACACGAACGCGCACATGACCAATGAGGGCACGAGATAAGTTTGNGCTATGTTAGTTTGACAATAAAGAACCTTGAACCTTGAACCTTGAACCTTGAAGTAAAAAAAGTAGTTAACAATTAAAAATGTAATTAAAAAACAATAGGGTCACAAAGGTTCTTTATCACAAATCCTTTTGGATTACCATTTGAAAATAGTGGATTTTAACTTGTAATTGTTATTGTAGGCCTATTATTATTTATATTAGTAGCCTAATACCACGTGCCTTACTATAATACCCCCCCCCCCAGTGTCAATTAATTTAGGCCTAATCCACAACTTTAATTGTCAGAACTTCAGCACTGCTAAATAGATTTAAATTCAAGTGATCCGAACTAACACTTTAATTAAGAATTAGAAAGGGGAGTTAATGGAAAGAGAGAGAGGGGGGGAGAGAGAGATAGAGAAAGAGGGAGAGAAAGAGCGAGAGAGAGGGAGAGAGAGGGGGAGAAAGAGCGAGAGAGAGGGGTGGGATTAGGCTCGTGCTGCAGGTTACACGGGATTACGGCTCGCGGAGTATTTCCCTGAGTTGCTCGCTCTGCTATGGAAATCTCTGCACGGCATTTCTCTGCCTGAACTGATTTAACACCTTTGATTCTGGGGATAAACAAACTGTATGGAAACATGGCCGACATCCCTCAACTCGTCAAAATTGGGATTAATATGAAGATGCTCCCTAACAACACGGCGGTGCACTTCAAATCCGACGGTGCCCGGTTCGGACAGACCCGGACCATCAAGCTGCTAACCGGATCCAAATACAAGATCGAAGTGGTCGTTAAACCAGGAGCGGTCCAGGCCACGTAGGTAGCGCTCTTATTCTGTCTGTTTCAGGCGTGGATCATCATGACATGGACATGGACCAAACTGCCATGTTACATCTATTCATTTAAGGGAACAAACATCATGGTATTTTTACCTTACAAATCTCTTCTGAGAAAAAGCCACGGTGATTATTCAAAGAAACGTTCACATTCAATTAGGAGACTGCATTTTTCCCATGAACCTTCCAAAAATAGAGAATGTTGTTGCATGTTGCACAGCCACCTATTGTCGCCTTAATATTATAGCGTGGAATGGAATTAAATGACGGTATTATAGCCTAAGGGGGTATTTTAAAAACGTTTGAGCTTCCTACCATTTATCTGTTGTTGTCATATCATTTCCTTTACAAAGGAAAGCATATGTCTGCTTAATTTCCCGACAATTAACACTTAAAATATTCTGCTTGATAACACAGAGTCTATTTTACATATAGGCTATTAGTTAATGGTAATTTCGAGAAAAACTTAAAATGAGGATTTCCTTCCATGGAATCTCAGTGGTGAAACAGAATGCATATGTGGAGTTAAAGGCACCATTCATGGACATTGGGATATATAGCCATTACCTCTCTAAAACATATAAAGTGTACGAAAGAGGTTTTCGTGATTTTTAAGATACATAAAAAAACACAAAAACCCTCAAAACACTTGCATTTTGTTGTACGTATCACAGTAAAATATCTTTGCGATATATTGTCTGAATAAAAGCCATGCTCTTGAACGCTCAACAAGTCATTTTTCCATGTGTAGCGATCGAAAGTAGAATTGTACACGGTGCACATGAAGGCAACATAAAACCAATTGGTTGCACGTAAAAATCCACACAGATTAGGATTCCGGGGTTTTGTTAAAACCTCCTCTTGTGATCTGACTACAGTTCATGATTATGTAATGGTTGTTGTATTTCCATCTCCAAAGCAGGATTATTGTTAACATGCTGTGAAACTGCTTGAACACTATGGTGTAAAAATAGGTCACACGTGCATGATGCAAGGATATTTGGAGCATGCTCATAAAACACAGCTGCAGACATAGCTCACCAAAAGGATTTCTCACAATGAAATCTGGAACAAAATTGCATCAGTAAGTATGAAGCTTGAAGTATTTATCAGTTAGTGCTTTGGAAATTGCATGTGTAATTTCTTAATACATCCAATCAATCGACATTATTTTTTGAATACATCTTGTCTTTGTTTTATTAAAATTAGAATCCGGTGTTATAACCAGGTTTTCACATACAAGACATTTGCTTGGGTGAAAACCAAAAAATGTATGTTTACAAGAAATATAAATACACACAAATAGAAAAGTACAAAAAGAACATAACAAGTTACTCTGAGAATAAATATGTGCAGTATTTTTGAATTTATTAACATTGACTCACTTGTTTTGCGGATCCATCTTCTGTGCACAGCCTCACATGAACCTTTAATTTAAAGATTAGTCTGATGTGTTGTTTACCTGCAGCTCGATGAGTATCGGTGCGGTGACCTTCCCTCTGGAGCAACAGTCTAAAGACCCCCAGTCCGTCGTCTATAGCGGCCAGTACGACACAGAAGGGGTGACACATACTAAGAGTGGAGAGAGGCAACCAGTTCAGATAAACATACAGGTATGGATATACTGTGTACACAGTGCACCAAACTACTAGGGATGCACCTAAACCTTTATTTGGGTCGATACTCACTCAAATAGCTGGATTGGTTTTGGCGACAATGAGACCTACCTATTAATTTCGATCTCATGTTTGTATATTGCATATAATATACAGTACACTGAAATGTACTTCCTGTTAAAGGCTTAACCAATGTGTTCCTGCATTGAAAAGGATAACACTAGTAGTAGTACAAATATATAGAAGTAATTCCGTTTTTTTTACCAAGTTGTTGGTGTACAATTCAATATTCTAATAATTAACAATAAAAATACGGATAGATTTAGTGGAATGAAACACTGGTGTTGGATCAGTACTCAGTACAAACCAATGCTGTATGGGGACATTTCAACCTGAGATCCGCTCGTCTTTTAGAGATGTGCATACTAAAAAGAAAACAAATATGTTCTTTTTTTTTAGTGTTCAAGTCTCCTCAGCTAGCAGCAATTAACAGATGCTTTAAGCTTCAGTGATGTTTCTTAGTAACGTAACGACTGGATCATTCTTAGTTACAACAAATTATTGCTTTGATTAAAGTTACATGACTTTCTGTATACTCCATATGTCCAGTTTACACCCTAGGGCCTCTGAGATAATACGGTGTGTGTGTGTGTGTGTGTGTGTGTGTGTGTGTGTGTGTGTGTGGTCAGTATGCCTCCTCTTCATTTCCCCTTCACATGATGATATAGTGTGTGTGTGTGTGTGTGTGTGTGTGTGTGTGTGTGTGTGTGTGTGTGTGTGTGTGTGTGTGTGTGTGTGTGTGTGTGTGTGTGTGGTCAGTATGCCTCCTCTTCATTTCCCCTTCACATGATGATATAGTGTGTTTGTGTGTGTTTGTGTGTGTGTGTGTC